GATGATGATGTATGTTTGGGGCTGCATTGCAATATTGATTGTTCGGATCATTGGTATCTAAGTCTTCCGCTGTGCTATCTTATACTTTGTATTGAAAGGTCGGTTCTTGTTCTGGTCTGCACCTATACGGTATGCAACACTATGCCAAGGTGCAATGAGCTGCCTCGTTGGACTCATTGATCTTGCTGTTTCTTTGTCAGGCTTTTACCTTTGTATTTTCCCAGGGATAAGAAGGAAGAGGAAATTGCAAGGGAGAAGCTTCCAAGTGATGTTGGTGATGAAAATGGAGAGACAGTGATAGATGAGCGGAAAATCCGAATCTTGCCAGGGGTTCCTGCCATATCCCCGAGAAGGTCGCCCTGTGTAGCAGATCCCTTTAGGGTGTCTCCGAAGAGGTAAGGACCCTCCTATGTTGTGGTCATGCTTATGCTGTGAAAGTTGTCATGTATTGCCATGCATTGATTTCTCATTCTGAAATTTCTACTGATATGGGCAAGATGTAAATCTGCTTGGAACTTAGGCAATCAAGCTCATGTTGTTCAATACTTGTATTATTAGCAAGTCAGTTGGAGGAATGGAGTCCTGACGAAGGTGCAGCATGGGAGCAACCAATTGCACGAGGGAAAGTAATATTTTGAGGAAAACTACGTGTTGGTTTGGGGATGTAATCTTGTGTGTGAATGGATTCGTTTTCCTGACAGAAACGAGTTCTTGCTTCCCATGGCTGTGGGCTGAAGCTAATATGCTACTGTTCAGATCTGCATGAATACGGTGACTGGCTGGGAAGTGAGATTGGGTACCAAGTATTCTTCCTCGGCCTCCTCCTCCACCACCTCAACCAATTCTACGATGGAAAGTCACGCTAGAAGAAAACTACAACATGTCTGTTGAAACATGTAATCGTGTGCGTGAATGGATTCGTTTTACCAACAGAACTGAATTTGTACTTCCATGGCTGTGGATTCAAGTTCATTTGCTACTATTCAGATATGAATGCATATAGTGACCGTCTGCACAAGGGGATTGGTAACCAAGTATTCTTCCTCAGCCCCTTCTTCTTCTTGTTGTTCCTGGTAACAAGGAGGAGACAGGGCAGCGAGGCTGGGAGAGGGAGGGAGAGGGAGAGCACACACACATGCTCACTCGACTCGAAGCAGACTCGACACGACTCAACGGACGCAGACACGAAGTGGCGAAGTCGCAAAGTCGCGAAGTCGCAGTTTTGGATTCTGGAACAAAATGTTGAAGCATAGTCACACTGAACACTGAGCAATGAGGCTGAAAACTGGTTGCCCGTTCTGGGCTTGAGTCTGGTCCTAAAAACTGGACTCAAGTTCAGTCCCGAGGGAAAAAGTGCAAATTGCCTCAGGGCTGAACTGAAAATCGAAGGTCTGAGTCTGGGCTCCAGAATGCCGGATGGCGCCAAGTATTGAAATCCGAAAGTGCCAAAAGAGGAATTTGAGAATGGGCGCCAACTGCAGAGGGCTCGAACAGTCAGGGGCCTGAGAACAGAGACCCAAAAATGAAATAGCAGCCTGGCGGGTGGTAACCCGCGGACCAGGGATTGAGCCCTGTCTGAGTCCATAACACTATCCCCTCCCTCTGGAAGGCAACATCCCGGCTGCCAAAGACCTGATGAACAACTGTGAAGGACGGGATGGGGCCGATCACTGGTCAGGAAAGGAAAGGGGGAGTAATGCAAGTAACAGGGTAATCTTTCTGATGTTCTACAAGTGTGAAGGTATCAATGTTCAGGTAACACGGTAGTTGAGGTGCCACAAGGTTGAAGTAACAGGTAACAGGGCAATACTATTGATGTTCCACGGGATGAGGGAATCAATGCTCAAATAACAGGGTGATCCTATTGAGGTTCTACAAGGGTGAGGGTAGCAATGTTTAGGTAACAGGGTATAATCATATTGAGGTTCTACAGGGGTGAGGGTAGCAATGTTAAAGTAACAGGGTGATCGTATTGAGGTTCTACAAGTCCTATTGATGTTCGACAAGGTTATAGGTTGTCAGGCTTGAGAAAAATAAAAATAAAAATAGTTTGTTCAATGCTCAAGGGCTGGGGTGTCTGAGGAATCTGGGGAAAACAAAGTCTTAGGTCGGTAACAAAGTGTCAAAATGTGAAAAATGTCTTGAGGAAGGTCTTCAGAGGTCTTGATCAGATCCAGAATAGGTGAGAGAATCGGTCTTCAGCGGCTGCAAGAGGTAGTTAACAAATGTCCAAGCTGCGGAAAAGCGAAGTTGGAGTACAAGTGTCCAAAGTCCAAGTGCCGGAGTGCGTCTGGTTCATGAACTGGAAGGTCTGATCCAGTAGCAAGCTGCTCCGGTAAGTCCACGAGTCCAGATGTCGGCGAAGGAAACAGCATGGTGGGCATTGGTGGCCAAACCAGCTGCATTATCTTCATGATCATGAGGCAGCAGGCCATCGTCCTCGTGCGCTTGCCATTAGATCCTTTATTGGCAGCGTCACCCAGGTCCACAACCATTGGTCAAGAGAGACAGAGAGTGTGGTAGAGGACAGATGGGAAGGACTAGGCTGAGGCAAGGGCGGATCAGACAGCAAGAGATCAAGATCAAGGGTGGGGGTTAGGCTGGGTTTAGGTGTGGTGTGCGTAGAGTAGGTATGTATAGGTCGAGGCATATGCAAGTTGATAGCTATGAGGCAGGGTGGGTACAATCATAGGCACGAGCGAGTTTCATGGTGTTCTTTAGATTTGCAAGGGGTTCCCATCTTGATTTTTTGTTTGGGTATCCTGTCCATTCTACTTGTATTCTGTGATAGGCTCGGGGTGGTTGGATACTTGAGTTGTTCTACGGCCGATGATTGACTCCACAGAGAATTCAGGACCGGTGGGAAGCATAATAAGTGCTGGACGAGGGTGAGAGCAATCAGAGAACTAAGGAGGTGATTCGTGGAATTCTTTCAAGTATTCTACATAGAAGACGGGATGGACGAGGTTCATGTTAGCGGGGAGTTGGAGCTTGTAATTTACAGCGGATGTTTTTTTAATGATGAGGAATGGACCGAGCCAGTTGTTCAAGAGTTTCTTGGACAAGCCTTGTTCGGGATACTTGAGTCCTTACTCTTAGACATGGTCCCTCTTCTTCGCGCTTGGTCTCTACGAACTTGATGCTGGAGACTTGTGGTTCCCTTATGGCTACACCACCCGGCGACTCCGTCACTTGAACGTGGGACCAGCTGGCAGTCCCGCTGACCTCGGTCTTCTTTCCTAGCCTCGCCTCTTGCAGGGCGATTCTTTTGTCCACATTTGTCTTCATCGAGGGGTAGAAGGAGACGGCCTCTCCATCATCTCCCCACACCACCCACTTGTTCTCATTTAACTTCACCACTCCCAACCTCAGGGCTTCTGTGAGATATGGACACTCTCGTTTGATGTGACTTTCCTCGTTGCAATAGACACACCCACTCCGAGGCTGGGGATTGTTAGGTCGAGGCCCCCCTTGAGACGTAGTTCCCACGCCCGTGGAGGAACTGGGCGGAGGCGAAACTCTTGCTTGACTCCCCTCCGATTGTGATCACCAGTCATTGCTTCGGCACAACCAGCATTACTCGCCGTTCCACCTCAGCACCAATCGCACATTAGATAGTTCTCATCACACTGTCCAGACCACATTACACCACGTAGCCTTCCTGGCGATCCCCTCACCTCCTGGGTTGCCACTACTCGTCTCCGCCCAACAGACCACATGTATGTACCGCATAAGGCAGAAGACAAGCGCCAAATGAGCGCAAATCGTACCATAGCTCCGATACCAAATTGCAAGGAAGATGAGCAATAGCGAACTTCAGCAATCAAACAGCATCATATACACAAGACCAGATAGTCGTGACCTCGAACCAACAGTAGAATTGCATAACGAGTTTCACCAAATAAGAAGACACCAAGAGCTCATAATTGACAATGTTAGTAAAGTCTCATCATCATCATCAATGAAGAACCAATGTTGATATCCTATCTGGCGCTCAGCGCCCAAACTACAAATGACAGATCCTATCTAGCCTAGTCTATAATGCCGAATGATGACGACAACAACTTTCCCGAAGTACGAGCATACAGCCACCAATGTCGCACGCTTCCAACACCAGGTATGTCTCTCGCCTCACNCAACAACTTTCCCGAAGTACGAGCATACAGCCACCAATGTCGCACGCTTCCAACACCAGGTATGTCTCTCGCCTCACTCACAACCTCGTTCCCCATTACACAGATGCTTCTTGCACCCAAGGACCACCCTGCGCCACACCCAGCTTACAGCAGCGCAGCTCGGCTATGGCTGCCTGCTCCATCCTGCTCGCCCGTGAGCGCGTGAGTGCCAGCGAGCTTCAGCGCAGCAGCGCTTGCGCAGCATGCAGCCAGCACCCGAATGACGAATGTGGAGGCAGGTCCTTTGCTATACCCAAGTGGCCTGCCTGCGTTCAGTCCCAGGAAGCTTCCAGTAGGCCCCGATAGCTTGAGGCCCAGCATGAGTGAGAAGAGGCCTTGGGCCTGAGGTGGTTGCATGTACCCAACAGCCTTTGGCCTGTGTTTTGCCCAGTGCCCATATCCAGCCCAGGGCCTGCTTTCCATACATTCACACAGGTGGCCGAGGGCCTGGGTTCTCTCAACCAACTGGCGCTGCGCAACTGCTTGAATTTCCTTGAGTTGCGTGGTGACCGAAATAGGGGCCCTCAAGTCTCGTCATGCCTACCTTCACTTAGGGCGTATGACGTGATACTTAGCAGGGCCAAAATGGGGCTCATAGGGGCAGAAGCCTCGCATTCCCTCCTCCATAACTTTGCTAGTCCTCTGAGAAGTTCAGTCTTCGATGATCTGGCGCTTTCCCTTCTGCAGAGATTTTTCATATTGAGCTACGATCTGAGGAGCGGTCTGCATGAGTTCCTCCCTAGTGAACCAATGGTCCTCCTTTGGATCCAGATGATGTCGGAACCGAACTCGGTACTGCATCTTCGGTTTCGGAGGACGTCCCCTGCCTGTCGGTCTTGGAACGGGCAACTCCCTGTGATCCACGATGTCGTCTATGTCCACCTCTCCATCCATGGTTGGTGGAAGCATTGAGCGTCGAGTGGGAAACTGATCTGTTTCCTCGAAAGGGGCAAGCTTGGAGGCGTGAAAGACAGGGTAAGTGCGTAAGTGACCAGGGATGCGAATAACATAAGACGGACCATCCGGTTCATTCCCCACGACATCCAATACCTCCCATGGTCCAAAGTACTGTGGCATGAGCTTGTGGGAGATCCCGTGCTCCTGTCCCACTTCAGAGGACTTTACCCAGACTCTCTCCCCTACCTGAAACGTGGATGGGCGGCGGTGTTTGTTCTCAGACTCTATCATCGCCGCTTGTGCCTTGTGCATATGTTCAACAGCCTGTTGCATCAGCTGCTCAAATCGATAAGCAAACTCTGAAGTCCCAGGTGCAGCATTCAGCTGATTGTCAAGTAGTAGAAAGTCTAGAGGCAGTCGGGGTCTGAAGGTCAGTAGCAAGTTGTTAGGACTGACTCCGGTTGCGCTGT